TTAAATATAGACATCTAAGTGAAGACATAATTAATGACAATTTTATAGTTAGATGATTCGTTGTAGATATATGCTCTTTTTAACTTGATCATTTGAACTTGAAAGTAAGTTTTAATCAAGAAGATGGAAACAACAAACTGTCACTCTAACACACACATGCTCATATATATATATATATATACATATGAGAGAGAGAGAGAGAGAGAGAGAGAGAGAGAGAAATTAAATAAACGTATGACTGAGAGGCCTACAGTATTGAAAGAGAAAATGGAAAAGATAGAAATTTATTCCTCAAAAGGATGTAGTTTTATTAAGGGTTTTGTTTTGAGAATGTTATGCATCTATTTCGACTAAATAAAGATTAGTGTAAGTTTTTGTTTTTAACGAAAAGATGTGTAAGTTTATCATGTTTTGCAAATTGAGAATTAATTTGTGTATGGTTTCAGGAATTGGCTTTCCATGAAGAAGAGAGGACTCGAAACGAGCAGGTTGGGTTCATGGTTAAAAAATTTCTTGTAGAGATTTGGATGGTGTTGTATTTCTTAGGACATGAACACTACTCAGGAAATATGTTGTCCGGCCTGCATCTCTTTATTCATTTCACCTTATAATCATGTGGTTTCATTTGTAATCAACAAACAAATTAAGCAAAACCCTCACCAAAAGAAAGCAGGCTTTTTTTAGTCATTCTATGATCTGAATCTTGGAACTTGACATGACCCTACTCTTTGACCCTTAAGCCAAGGACCAAGGCAATGGAGCAAATCCAAATGGCCTTACATTTTTTTTCCCCTCTATGTTGGATACTGACGATTTTGTTTCTGGTGTGCTGTTTTAATGCTCCAAAACAGATCCAAGCATCAATTGCCCAAATTTTTCAACGACAATCAGAAGCTCTAATCAGAAGACGCACATTTGGAAAAGATACACCAGATGCATTTATTACAAGATCGCAGCGCAATAATCGGAGTTCCTTTTTAAGGAGACGGAGCTCTCGAGCCACTGAAATTCAAGGATCTGTAGACAATGAGGATGAAAATGACAATAATAACATGGGCAAAAATTCATCCTCCACTGATGAGCGACGTACTGAAGTTACGCCAAGACGGCTGAGGAGACGGGCAGGATCTCGATCCTCTCAGCCGTCTTCATCGCTAGCCAATTCAAGTGGCGGATGCACTGAAAATGATTTAGAAGTAAACCGAGAGAACCGTGGAATTTCTCCTGGTATTGTGTGGAGCTCAGAAATGCTTGCTTGGGGGCGGGGTGGTGCTCGAAGTCACACACGGCATGGCATTTCTAGTGGTTGCGGCAATAAGAATTCTCGAAGCACTCGCTTATCAAAGTTGGTTGATTATCTCCGGAGCATAGAGGAAAACAATGATGAGGTATAGGGATATTGTGTTGGACTATTTGTTGGGTCATTTAGGTCCATTCATTACATGTGCCACCCGTGGAGTATCTTGCTGAATTGTAGTTTCTTGGGGGCTCGAATAAATAACTAGTTACTTTGGCTTTCACTGAGCACCGCAGTGACCCAATTAGAATCAGTACTGCTTTCTTTTTCGCGGTTTTGTATCCCCTTTGATGAAATACTTCTTTGTCTGCAGTTAGATGTTCATCTCATGCTTATTTCTTTGGATAAAAGATGTACACCAGGTTTGCAGCAGCCGCACCTATGCTGTCGGCCAAGTTTGTCAGTCAAGCACCTTTGTGATGTGAGATTATTCTCCTGATATTACTAATCTAAAGATGTAAATTTCACTTGTGAAACTTGCCTTTGACTATGTAAATGTTATGATTTCTTCTTGTGCCTTTTTGGATTGAGAGTTACAATTGGGCTGTGAAACTTACTAGTCATGCCTCTTTACCTCATCCTCTGCTGGAATTTTTGTTTACATACTATTGATAGAGAACACAAGCATGACGCATTCTAATAATATGGCCAACCTTAAGTTTACTAGTTCATTCTAAAAATGTTAATGTACTGCTCTTTATTTCTTTGGTATTCTTCTACATTACACAATACCCATGTGCCCGTGTAATTTTCCCATGCATTTTTTTATACAGTATGTATCTCGCCAGACGCCTTTGCTGGCAGAAGAAGTTGAATTTTTGGCAGTCAAAGGGTATCACAGTTCCAATGACGAGAAGTTGACCCTGAACCCTTCATCCTTAATGAATGATCTAGATTCTGCACCCCTTCTAGTTGATCCATGCAGATATGACCTGCAAATTCTGCAAGCAGAAGAAACTTTGGGAGGGGTTAAAGCCATTTGCACTTCCAGCAGGGACCATTTGGTGAGTAGACATTAGAAGGGCTATTGTGAGCTCTCAGTTTTACAAGCTCTCTTAAGATCTCTACTTTTTACTATTGCCAAGCTAAAAGGTGCACACAACTCATCTTTGGAAAGAATATTGATCCAATGAGAAAAATTTAGTCGAACGTTTCAATAATAAGCATTGATCAAATAACAAATGCATCTGCTAGTTAAAGTTCTCTCTGGTTGCATTTCATTTTACTGTTTTGAGCTTAAAATGAGAGAATAGAGTAACTTTTGATGCTCAAATGTGAAGATGCTTACATGATTTGCAGTGCCGAAAACTCTATTTGAAAGACAGAATGCTTATAATAAGATCCATGAAACTCCTTCATATGGCAGTATTTGTAGCCATATTGTACAAATTGTCCTTATTGTCAATTATTTGAACCGGTTTGAAGAATGCAAGCCATTCATTCACTTTATTTTCAGTTTTAAAAGATATTATCATTAACACCATAAATAAAGTTTTAAATTCATTTAAAGTCCTTTCAAATTTTTTTAAATGATTTTTAAACTTATTTCTTCTGTTTAGAATCATGTGTGAATATGCATAATCCTGTTTCTAATCTGACTGTTTGGCAAGAGATCATTCTCTATGATTGCATTGATATCAACAATAGTCATTGAACACTAAATCAATATCTGCTACTCTTTTCAGATTCTAGCATACAGACGGAAGGAGATTTAGTTAGGAAATTTCGGACTTGCCAACTAAATTCGTACGAGAAGATTGTTGTATCTGGCTGTTGATAAAAGAGTTACTGTAAATCGATGTAGTAAAAGATAGATACCGGGATGCATTGATCCCCAGTTCAGACATTGTTGTATTCTTGATGTTGTAAACGCATGCTTCTATTGTTTGTGTAATTTGATGTTGTTACTTTTTGTGGCTTCATTTTAGCAGAAACGATTAGCTTACAATACATCAGTAGCAATTTATATTTTATTTTTACAATTATGGGCAGGCTTTTTGGGATTTCCCAAATCCCCGATCCATGGCATTATATTTTTTACACAAATTTTAGATCCTTGGATGAGATGAAATTTGACACGGTTTTCGAGAGGAATTGGTAAGCCGAGGTTGAGATTAAATCTGACATGACAAGTTAGTTTTTAGTTTTTGAGGGTTTAGGGGATTTGGAGGATCACTTTTCCTTGCTTCTTTCTGCTCAGACTGTAGAATTCATTCCACTCATTCATCTTCATTCTTCGTTCTCAAAATAGCTCCGGGCCTGTTCATCTTCATTCTCTCCAAGTACAGAGGGTTTCTCTCCTTCTAGATCTTTGTGCCAAAGATAGTCTCTCTCATTTCCATCTAATGCTATCTCCTCATAATTTTTTTTTCATCTCTCAGTGCATTATTTCTCTAGTATGGCTCACGCCCAAGATTTTTCTTCCAGATCACTTTTATTAAGGTAAAAATAAATAAATGATATTAAATAGGGAAGAGAGAGAAATATTAAGTTAAGGAGAGGTAGTTTAAAAATGCAATAACGAAAAGCAGACACGAGCTTAATCAAAGTTGGCTAGAGCGGATGTGCTCCTCACTTTACACCCGAATTCGAATCCCCCTCCCTCTGGTTTAGATTAAATTAAAGTAGAATATCATTTGTATAAATAAAAAATAAAAAAAACCAAAGCAATAACAAAAAATGAAATTCACCATTGTTACAATTTAGTTTATATTTTATTTAATTCACGTTGCAATAGGTGGATCAAACAACTTGATGTGTGAGGTTAAACTATATTTTTTATTGGGTCTGAAGGGTTAAACTAGGACAGAGAGCACTTAAGCGGAGTCAAAGCTGATATTTTCGTAAATTTCAAGTACATTTTTGTGATAAAAACCCTTAAAAATATTTGAAATTTTTGCAGAAAGAATTATATTGTTGGGTGTCCTATGATCCACATTTTTTGTTGGTGTGATTAAATAAAATAAAGGCTTATTTACTGTAGTGCCCCCGAAACTATGATCAAATCCTACATTGCCCCTTGAAAGTTGAAGTGGCCCACCTTGCCCCCTTGACCAAGGTTTGGTGAATCACTTTGCCCTATACCGCCATCTCCTACCATACTGGGATTGAGAAACGCCTGGTTCTCTCGGCATGGTCATTGAAGTCGAATACTTGCTCCTGGTTCCAAGATTTTGATTCCTCTGCTTCCTTTTTCAAACTCAAATCTCACTATCTCTGTCTGTCTGCCTCAGTTAATTAGCATGTGAAAACCCTAAATGGTCGCACTCTTATTTTCTAGATCTAGGGATGGGCAAAAGGGGTTAACGGGTGCGGGTTGCGAAATGGGTCGGGTAAATGAGATGGATTCGAATTGGGGGTGGGCTCCACTTATGCCACATCATAAGCTTTGATTGGGCATACACATGTTTTTTAATTTTTGAGGGGTAGGCTCCACTTTTGCCACACCACAAGTATGGGTAAGGGATGGGGAGCCACGTGTGCTAAAAGGACCGAAATTCCCCTGCCACGTCAGCAAAAATGCCGGAGTCAAGAAAGGAGATGACAGTAGAGTGTAAAGTGATTCACCAAACCTTGGTTAAGCGGGCAGGTGGGCCACTTCAACTTCCGAGGCCAATATATGATTTGCCCATAGTTTCGGGCCACTACAGTAAATAAGCCTAAAATAAAACCGAAATGATGTGAAAGTGAAACACGTCACTTGTTCCCAACTCACCAATAAAGCAAAACACTCAAGGCGTTGCAATTTGCAAAGCTCTCTCACCTTTCCACATCCGACGCTAAACACTGAAAAGGAAACCTAAATCCTCCTTCTCACTGCGACAGTGACGCAAAACGTGGTGAGCATTCTCTCCGACTCTTTCTCTAACTTTTTATTTTGTTAATTCGTTCCATTTACGTTGGAGATGATTTGATAATATTTTTCAGAACTAGCCTAGGCTGTGTGAGCCAATACTTATTGCAAACCCATTTGGAACAAGTTGCTTACAAATCAGAATTTTGGTCAAATTGTTGCAAGTTGTTTCGATTGTCCAGTTGGGTTTGTTGGATAACCAGGTGATCAATAAATTAATAGTCAGTGTTTAAATAAATGCTCAGTATCCTAGCTGAATTTGAGGAATGTTGTAGTTGTTTGAATGATGTTTGACAAAATTCCTGAGACATAGTTGGTTCTGTTTCATATGATAAACAAAATTCTTTACTGATAGTACAGGAACCGGTGTTTCAATTGGTTTCACTCCTACATATATAATATCATTGCCACTATATCATTCCTCTATTTGCATGAAAATCACAGAGTTGTTCCCATTTGGTGGACTAATGACGGTGCCGGCACAAGAGGTTAGAGTTGAAAACTGATACTCTGGGAGGATCATTAAAAACCAGAAAGTGAGATTGGATAAGAGAATGGACATTTAAGATTCTATCGTATGGTTACTGTATTGGATACAGTTGAAGGGTAAGGAATAACATTAACATCTAGAATGAGGACTACAGTTTTTGCCAACGCTAAACGAATGCTGCAATAAGATTCTGGAAATTGATAATGGCCTAGATGATATGCTAAGTCTTTTGCATTAGTAACTTTTTCATTGGTTTATTTTGTCAATGGTTAGGTAGTATTGTTATCATTCTTCATTTTTATTTTTATTTTGGGTTGAAATCTTAACAAGATTTATACAATTTAGCCAACTTCTTGAAATTTGTTTCTTATCAAGGTTTTTACACATTGTGGTATATGGGGACTCCAGAAGCAGAGTATGCTGCATTTGAGGAGAAGGTCAAACGAACTGTTTACCTTGATAATATCTCACCACAGGTCACCGATATTGTTGTGAGAACTGCTCTTTCTCAGTTTGGGACTGTGAAAAATGTTCAGTTCATTCCAGACTACTTCAAATCAAGGAACATCGCACAGTGTGCACTGGTGGAGATGGAGAACCCTAAACAGGCTGATGCTATTGTCTCAGAGATAGCTCAATTCCCATTCATGATGGCGGGGATGCCAAGGCCTGTGAGGGCATGTCCTGCTAAAGTGGAGATGTTTGATGATCGCCCTACAAAGCCTGGAAGAAATATATCTTGTCGTTGGTTGGAGCCAAATGATCCTGATTTTGAAGTGGCACAAAAACTGAAGCGTCTTACTAAAAAGCATGCTGCTGAAGCGTCATCTTTGCTCAAGCAACAACTCCAGGAAGAAGAGAATCTTGCGAAGCAGCAGAATGAGGCTCTTAAAGCAAATTATAAGAAGTATGAAATGATAGATAGTGTGATAGCTGATGGAACTGCTCGTCATTTGGCAAAACGTTATAAAATGAGAATAGCAGATGACTGATAGGTTTTTTTGTTGAGGTTCTCCCTCAAGAAAGTTTAGTAAATTTGTAAAAAATGCAATCATTAGTACATGATGGTTGTTTCTAGTAAAGGACTTCATTTGCTTGGAAAAAGAGTTCAGTTTGGGAGTATCTATATATATATATATATATTTTTTTTTTAATTTTATATTTTTTATATTTTATAAATATGATAATGGAAAATGATAAGGATGAGTTGTGTAATAGCATCTGCCTGGGAGATTTTTAAACTTGATTTTGCAATGATTTCTTGTCTTTAAAGCCCTTTATATTGGACTTACAATTTGTTGCTTGGAATAAGAATAAAGCCAAGGCAGGTATCGGATTTATGATGCAGATTATTGGCAATTACCTTATTAGGTTCGTCCCATTTTGAGTCTTGCTCTTAGTATTTTGCTGATTGAGCGAATTATACATTCAATTGACATTCATGGGTTGTCATTGTAATTGAGACTTTACAGTAATCTTGAAAGAATTGAGTTCAGTTGGCGTCAAAAGATTTGTTGCTTGGAATAAGAATAAAGCCAAGGCAGGTATCGGATTTATGATGCAGATTATTGGCAATTACCTTATTAGGTTCGTCCCATTTTGAGTCTTGCTCTTAGTATTTTGCTGATTGAGCGAATTATACATTCAATTGACATTCATGGGTTGTCATTGTAATTGAGACTTTACAGTAATCTTGAAAGAATTGAGTTCAGTTGGCGTCAAAAGAATGGTACACTAATTCTGTTAAGCCAGAGAGTGGAGGTACATATAAACTCGTACAGCCCTTGTACAGGGTTCAAGAGTTCTTGAACAAACTAAATTACTATATCATCTCATTTGTGTGGCAGCGCTGGAAACGGCAGAGTTGATCATCATCCTTCGCCTTTCTTTCCTTTCAAGCACACGTAAATGTGGCGACTTTGCTTTTGTTGATTCCTTTGGACACCTAGATCATGAAACAAACCAATAGCAATCAATTAAGACAACAAAAATGCAGCAATTTTTATAGAAGCAATGAGCATTATTCTTAAGCTTGCATTTTTGTTATTTCCTTACTTTTGGGGGCAGAATGGATGCTCAAAATTAGGCACTGGCCTTGCATGGGGTACCAGAGTCCTTCGTAGTTGCTTCAATGCCTTCTCTTCCTCCACCTACAAATGTTTCAAGTATATTTCAGTTTAAATCAAGCAAACTAGTAGTATCAAACAACTATACAAAAGGGGGCACGGAAACACGCATACCATCCTTGCTGCATCGCTCTCTTCTCTATATCTCTTGTACATTATTTCTTTCTCCCTAACCTGTAGATCTTAACTTTGTTAGTACGGGAAAACAATGTTCTTTTCATTTTATTTTTTAGTTTCACTGACTTGTAGATCCCTAACCCTTATATGTTACTGAAGGAGAGAGTAACAATGTTACCTTTTGATCAAATTCTGCTCTACCAACAGCCCGATGATCAACATGGAGATTGAATTGTTGAACTTGGGTAAGAGGCTTGCGCACTTTTTCTGGAACAGGAATTGGGTCCCTGCATGAAAGTGGGATATGAATCATTCATGTTTTTATGAATTATACCTTGTACCAAGTCTATATAAATTCAAAAAATTCAAAGAAAGGAAGTTTAGTTTGCTTACTCTTTCAAGATTGGCTGTGCCTTAAAAAGTCTTATCTGAGCTGCTTCTTTCTCCAGCCTTTGTCTTTCTTCCATATCCCTCTGCAATTCCTCCTCATGCCTCACCAAACTCTCTAGTTGGAAAGGTTCTGGTTTTGTGCATTGCTTGGGCTCTGGTTTGGGTGGGATCTGCATTTAAAACAGCATGAACCATTAATCTTTCTTGCAATTGCATGTAATTAAAACTCATAAAAAATATTGTTAAGTTTCTGTACCACAGGGTAATCAGTGGTATACGGATATGGGTTAGCTTTGGGAACCCTAGCTCTTTCTTCTTCCAATTGCTTCTGCCACACTTCGGTAATAAATTTCCTTTCTTTCTCAGCCCCTCTTTCCTGATGACATAAAAGACATAACAAATAAGCAGGTTATGAGCAGATTGCATCACTGAATTGGCTAACTTGTAAAGCTGGAGGAAAGGATTATCATACCTCTGTGTGGAGATGAAATGGATTTGGTGTTGTGTTTCTCGGAATTAGATTCTGGTGAGGCTCTGAGTTCAAAGACAACTGAAAAAACAAAAAGAAAGATGCATAAGAAGCTGTACATGAACTTTCATACTTTTCTTTTGTAACAAGTTCAAAAACATTGATTCCACTACCTTATCAAATATATCAAAAATGGAAGAAGGTGGCGGTGGTATTCTTTCATTTGTTGCAAAATGGAATTCCTGAGGTTTAGTCACATTTTTCTTGGCATTACAGAATACCCCCAGATCTCCTTTACTTTCAAATATCTACAAACAATGGTTTAACAAAAGGAACATTAGATATCAATTCCAAATGTTTCTAAGATGAATATCATTAAAAAGAAATGAAAAGGTTGGAAGTACCTTCTTATTCAGAGGCTTCGCCTTAAATTTTGGGATTCTTTCAAGTTCTTCCTGCTCAATTTCAAACGAACTTTTCACCCTGGGTGGACGGGCCCTCAATGATGTATGTAGCACAGGGGTTTTAGGTTCAGTAAGATGATGAGACTTCCCTTGATTATTCTATGATACAATAGAGAAAAACAGAACATTGTCACCTCAACTGGCTTAGCAAGAACAAAAAGTGGAAATATCAAATATGATTCTATTTATACCTGACGAGACACCTCCGTTGAAGCCACTGAAGCCATTTCTGCATTCTGGTTTGCCCTTGCCATTGTCTCCAAATGGAATTCCTACATCAATTAGACATAGGAGTCCTATTATTCATAGAAAATCTTGTATTTACTTCTAAGCAACACCCAGTCTACAATAACTTTACCTGAAATTCCGGTGGCTGAGGTGTACTTCTCAGTATTGCAGGTAATGATGGGGCTTCTAGAATCTGTAATGAGCAACAAGATCCAACCAATGAATCCAACAAATATAGGTCGGAAATCAAATGAGGAATAAAAAACAAGAGTAAAACAAATTACAAAATTACCTTTTTGTTTAGTGGTCGAGCCTTAAACTTCGGAATTTTGGCCATCATCTCTTCTTCAAGCTCAGCAGTACTCTTTACTCTCACTGATCGAACACGTTGAGATGTTTCAAATTCAGGCTCCTTAGGCCTTGTCAAGGTGAGTTTGGGCTTCATCTGAATAATAGAAACATCATTAACCATAATACTAAATATGTTGACAAAATAAAACCGAAGGAGACATAAAAAAGAACTCAAAGAAATCACAGATGGAGATAAGTATCTTTACTTGTGAAAGAGAACCATTGACATGCTGCATTGACAAGTCTCTGGTACTTGATTGGAACCTTTTCATCATTTCAGCCATCGAAACAAATGGTGCTGCAGATTCCCGAACATACACCTTTCTATCCTCTTTTTGCATAGTAGCAGTTGAAGAGCTTAAATTGAAACTGCCACTAGTATGACCCAATTTTGACTTGTGGTGCAACGTTTGGGGTTTGGGATTAAGAATCTGTATTTTGAGGAGGAGACAAAAAGAAAACCAATTAAGGTAAATTTCTAGAAATAACAGTCAAGTTAATACAGAAGTAAAAGTTACCTGTCTAGATCTTCCTCCGTCCAACTTCTGTCGCTTAATTGCCTGATTTTCCTGAGCTAAATTGGGAGTCCCAATTGCATTTTTCACATTTTTTTCTCTGGAAGTTCAAGTAAAGTAGGTAATCAGTACATTGACATATATGAATAAATTAACACATATATCAGAACAACATGATATACACAAACCTTTTCACACTACTTGGTTTGATGTTTTTAGTTTGTGATGACTGTAAGTGACTTTTTTGTTTCAGTGCTGACGGGTTTCTGACAATGCTTTCTATCTTTTTAGCTTTCTGACGGGTTTCTGACAATGCTTTTTTATCAACTTCGCTAATACTCTTATCAGCAGAGACCTAAAGGGTAAATATTATGATTAGATGCGAAAAAGCAATTAATTATGGCTTTTCAGAGGAATAAAAGTTCAAATTATTACATTGGCTTGGCTTACATTGCTTTCATCTTTAGCTTCCCTGGGGATTATATCAACTTTGACTTCAGCATCCGGTTGAGGCTTAGTTTCCACAGACTTGTCATTAGCTTTTAATTCAGAGGATGATTCCAAGTTCTGCAAAAGATAAAAGCGCAATAAGCTAGAAGTCCAAGTTTTAAAGGATATAGAAGGAAAAAAATTAGAAAATGAATACCTTCTGCATTTCCTCTGCTTCACTAAAATCACACATGCTCTCAACCGTAAAAGATCTACCAGCCTTGATCCTAGGCATGAAGGCTGCACAAATAAACGAGTACCAATATAATCAGAACCTTTAACTTATATGCACCAAAAGAAACAAGAAAATAGGTCATCCTTGCAAACATAAAATTCACTTTCACTGAGAGATGTAGATAGATTAAAGCATAGCCAATATGACACTTCCCTGCTCCATCAAAAGAAAATTCCAGTCAAATTATACTAAAAAAATACGTAAATTGTGAACCTAATTTGGCAAGTTTGGTAAAGAAATGAAGGAAATCCCAGAGCTTTAAATCTTAAAATGTTATCCGGATCAAAAAATCTCTCTCACTCAATTTGATCAACTGTAGTTAGAATTTTCTGGAAGCATAACCTCTGTGTAATTTCTGAGAGTATTAACAGAAGACAGTAAAAAAAAAACAAAAGATCTTTCTCTCAACAATGTGGAGCACCTAATTGAGTGTAGTTTTTCATTTAGACAAACGAAATCACTAACCAAAACTAATAAAGAAATCGAATTTTATTTTCTAGTCCCCAATCTTCTAGGGAAACAAACACAACTGACTGAGCAAACAAACACTGCAAGATAGGCAATACAGCAATTGCTTCCCTATCGGTTTCAAGAAACGCTAGGAACGGGAGCAAAATTGACCTCCAAAAAGAAAATTCAAACACTAAATCCCAAGAGAATTA